ACCTGGCAGTTTAACCTCACGCCAGGCACGTATGTGTGCGTGCCCAAGCTCCTGAGAGAAGAGTGGAGGAGAAGGGATTGTGGCATGGCCATCCCACCTGGGGGGTGATTTCTCACTTTCTGTCTCTCTGTCTCTTTCTGGCAAACGCACGTACCCTACAGCAAAAACCTCTCAAAAAAAAAAAATTGATGTGCTAGGATTCTCAAATCTATTAGCACCCACCACCCCACTTTAGAGATGTCTGCTAGCTTCTCACATTCTTCACCATTAAAACCAGTTCCCAAGAAGAGTTCTGCTAATAGTCTGAATAGGCCTTCTAGGGAGCATGTGAACCCCTGCTTTTTGTTGGGATAAGACGATGGAGACGGTGTACAGAGCTTAGGGGGTCTTTTTCAGCAAGGGAACACTCACGTTCAAATCAAAGCAAATAGTTACAGTCCCAGCTTTACTCTCAACTGATGTGTTAGTGTAGGCACATGATTTCCCTAGCTGAGAGTCAGTTTCACTGTTCACGACATGAAGAGGTTGGCTTTGGGACCAGCAAGCAGGTGGCTGGTGGTTAAGGCACTGGACACTCACACATGGGCAACCACAGTTCGAATACCGGACTTGGTAGCTTGCTTTCTCACTTTTCCCCTCTCTCTTTGTAATTCTCTCTGGTCAAATTAAAAGAAATGAATGAATAAATAAAATTAAATAAATAATAAATTTTTTAAAAAGGTTGGCTTCGATAATCGGTGAGGTGTCTTTGAGGAAAGAGCTCCCTACACCACACCACCTTCCCGGCAGAGCTCGCGGTGCGGTACCCGGGTATGGGCTACGCTGGAATGTTGCCCGCATCCAACCGGCTTTTCTATGCAGCGTGGCCATCGTGGTGGGCGCCCCGCGGACCTTGGGCCCCAGCCAGGAGGAGACTGGTGGCGTGTACCTGTGTCCCTGGAAGGCCGAAGGCGGCCCCTGCACCTTGCTGCCCTTCGACCTCAGTGAGTCTCTGGCAAGGAGAAAGAGAGGGAGGAGCCAGAGGGATGGAACGACGGGCTCCAGCACCCCCTCCTTTGTGTGCCCCTCCAGGTGATGAGACCCAAAACGTGGGATCCCAGACTTTCAAAACCTTCAAGACCCGGCAAGGACTGGGGGCGTCTGTCGTCAGCTGGAACGACATCATTGTGGTGGGCATCGCGGGTTGGGAGCAGACCCGGGCAGGGTCAGGTGGGGAGAGCCCAAGTCTCGAGCCCTTGCCCATTATTCTGTGGCCCTGCGCCAGGCCTGCGCCCCCTGGCAGCACTGGAACGTTCTAGAAGAGACTGAAGAGGCTGAAAAGACGCCCGTAGGGGGCTGCTTCATAGCTCAGTCTCAAAGCGGCCGTCGCGCGGAGTATTCGCCCTGTCGGGCCAACACCATGAGCCACGTTTACGCAGAAACGAATTTTGGTAAGTGCCCCCCTCCGTGTTGGCCCGCCCCCTCGCGGTCGCTCAGCCTCACCCATAATCGGACCCCTCTCCCGGCCGCAGGCCCTGCTCTCGGTCGGCGTTACAGCCCGCCCCCCGCCCAGCTTCGCGCCGGCGGATGTGAGGCCACGCCCCCGCCCGACTGCGCCCCGGCCTGGCTCCAGGCTTCGGCGCCAGCGACTCCACCCGCCCCTTCTTCCTCCTCCAGGAGACAGGCGCTACTGCGAAGCGGGCTTCAGCTCCGCGGTCACCCAGGCGAGTACCGAGCACGAGCGGCGTAGGGCGGCTCGCCAACACGGCCCGCTCTCACCTCTAGGGCTTCTCTTTCAGGCCGGGGAGCTGGTGCTTGGGGCCCCTGGCGGCTATTTTTTCTTAGGTATGAGCCCATTCGCTCCCTTACGATTTGGACCGACCCCAAGCGTCCGGGCCTCCCCCCACCACCCGCGACGCACCTGTCCCTCACGCCCTAGGCCTTCTGTCTCGGGCTCCAATTGCCGATATCATCTCGAGTTACCGCCCGGGCACTCTTCTGGGGCATGTGTCCACCCAGAGCTTCTCCTTCGACTCCAGCAAGAGAGAGTACTTCGACAGCTACAAGGGTAACCCTGGCACCTCCCTTCCAGGCTTTCCAGCCCCTGAAGGGCAGCCCCCAATCTCAGGTCCGGTCCCTGCAGGAGCCTCCAGGCCGACCCCAGCTGGGCTGCCGCAGCGCCTACGCGCCTTCTCCCTCTGCCGACTGCCATGCGGGGCCCCGCTCGCGTTTCCCACCGTGAGCACCAAGTGCAGCCTAGGCAGATCTCCGCCCCGATGGGCTCGGTTTTCCTATCTGCACAGTGCAGGGTTTGGACTGGGTGGCTCTGAATCTTTTCCTTGCCCTTACTGTTGCCCCATCCCAGCTTCGCCCTCCGGGAAAGACTAACTGGTGGTGTATCCTCAGGGTACTCTGTGGCCGTGGGCGAGTTCGACGGGGATCTCAGCACCACAGGCAAGAAAGCCACTCAAGGGCGGGGGTCGGAGAGCCCAGCCTGAAAAGGCTTCCTGGACCCCCTCCCCCTCGCCCCAACCCCGGGTGCGGAATGGTGGGCGAGAGGTGGGTAGGTCCTAAGAACCTCATCTTCTGAGCCCTGCTCTCCTCAGAGTATGTCTTTGGCGCCCCGACTTGGAGCTCCACGCTGGGAGCGGTGAGTACCTCCCACCCCGTCACTCAGCATCCTGACGCCCCAGACCCCACAGTCTCCCCCTGAGACCCCCCCAAACCTCCTGCCCTTTCACACCTGGAGCGGGAGGCTGCCGCAGAGAGCAAAGATGACCCTTTCCTGGGTGCTCTCCGTGCAGGTAGAAGTTTTGAGCTCCTACTACCAGACGCTGCACCGGCTACACGGAGAGCAGGTGGGACTGAGTCCCTTGGGTGGCCAAAGTCAGGGAGCAGAGACCCCAGAATATTTCGTGGCATGTGAGTGCACATGGCTAAGAGGATGCTAGGTCGAGAAGTGCGAATTATAGTGCACCCTTTCTATCTTGCAGATGGCTTCGTATTTCGGGCACTCCGTGGCGGTCACTGACGTCAATGGGGACGGGTGAGAAGAGGAACGCCCCACCCCTACCCAGGGGCAGGAGCTGCCCTCGGTCTCTTTCTAGTCCCCACTCTCATGTGACCGCCCAGGGGAGTTTGCGAGTTGGGGTGGATGAGATTTGACCTTAGCCCCAGCATCCCCAGGCCAGCTGCACTGAGCGGATCCTTCTGGCCCTCAGGCGGCATGACCTGCTGGTGGGTGCCCCACTGTATATGGAGAGACGGGCCGACCGCAAGCTGGCGGAGGTGGGGCGTGTGTACTTGTACCTACAGCCCGGAGGCCTCCACCCGCTGGGCAACCCCAGCCTCCTGCTGACTGGCACACAGCTCTATGGGAGATTTGGCTCAGCCATTGCGCCCTTGGGAGACCTCAACCGGGATGGCTACAATGGTAAGGGAAGAAAAAACCCCACTTAGTGCAGAGGGGTCAACAGCCACAGCAAAAAACATGGACTTGGCCTAAGGGCAGTGGGAGCTGGAAAGGGCTTTCATCAGAGAGTAACCACATCATATAGAAAAAATAGAATTAAAGTCTAGTTCATTTATTTTGGTGCCAAAAAATAATTGAAATCCAGCAGATGGCCTGATGGTTAAGATGGCTGGGTCCCACGTGGCCAACTGTACAGTTTGATTCCCAGACCTAGCAGCCTGAAAAAGGCACCAGATAAATGTATGTGCAGGCCCAGAATCCTGAAAGGAAGGAGAAATGGAGAAGGGACTGCAGCGTAACTGTTCTCCGTGGGGGAGTGCTTTCTCACTTACGCTCCGCTCCGTCTCTCTCTAGCAAGGGCGTGCACCGTCTGGCACTTTTTTTTCTTTAAGAGGGATTTTGGTATCCTCCCTTGCCAGAGAGGCAAAGAGACAGAAAGTAAGAAATCATCCCCTGGGGGAGGATGGCCATGCTGCAGTCCCATCTCTTCCTGTCTCTCTTGGGATCTTGGGCACACATGCATGTGCACTAGCCATGAGTTTTAAGCCACCAGGTCCAGGACTCTAACTGCAGTCAACTACGTGAGAGTCCAGTGACATAACTATTATGCCATCTCTGGTTCCTGGCTTTTTTTTTTTTTTTTTTTTGAAATCCATGCATAGTAGGGTTTTTAAAGAATTATTTGTTTTGGGAACCAGCAGTTAGCGTAATGGCTATGTCGCTGGACTCCCACGTAGTCGACCGTGGTTCGTGTCCCGGACCCGGTGGCTTAAAACTCACACCAGGTGCGTGTGCGTGCGTGCCCAAGATCCCGAGAGGAGAATAGAGAAGAAGGGATTGTGGCGTGACCATCCCCTCTGGGGGGTGATTTCTCGCTTTCTGTCTCTATGTCTCTCTCTGTCTGTCTGGCAAGCGCGTGCGTCCTATAGCAAAAAACCTCTCCAAAAAAAAAAAGAAAGAATTATTTGTTTTATTTTATTAATTTATTTTTAATTCAACAAGAGAGAAACGGAGAGAGAAAGTAAGAAAGCAAGCCACCAGGTCCAGGGCTCGAACTGCAGTCAGTCATGTGAGAGTCCAGCGCCCCAACCACCATGCTACATGCCTGCTCCCATAGTGTTTTGTTTTTTTTTTAATTGCTAGAGAGAGAGAGAACCCACCAATTAGGTGTGCTCACCCCAAAATGCTTTATCCTCTATTTCACTGTCCTGTCAGGATTTTAAGCACACATGCACATGCTCTCGGCATGTTGTTTTGTTTTGGGGGTGCCTGTCCTGTCTCTTCTGCTCCCTCTCAGAAAGAATGAATAAGCTTTTTAAAAAGTAAAAGATAAGGGCCAGAAGGTGGCATGGTGGTTAAAGAACTGGACTTCCGCATGGCCCATCATGATTCAAGTTCTGGACCTGGCAGCTTGCTTTCTCAGTCTCCACCCACCCCAGTGAGCACACGTGTCCTACAGCAAACTTAAAAAACAAAAACAAAACAAAACAAAAAAACAAAGAAGAAGGGCTGGCGGGTGGCATGGTGGTTAAGGGCACTGGACTCCACATGGCCGACTGCAGTCTGAGTCCCAGACCTAGTGGCTTACTTTCCCACTTTCTCTTTTTCTCTCTCTCTCTCACTCTGTCCCTCTCTGGTCAAGTTACAATAAATAAGTGAGGGACCAGCAGGTGGCATGGTGGTTAAGGCATTGGACACTCCCACATGACTGACCAGTGTTCGAGTTCTGGACCTGGTGGCTTGCTTTCTCACGTCCTCTCTCTCTTTCTGTGTGTGTGTGTGTGTGTGTGTGTGTGTGTGTGCGTGTGTGTGTGAAATTAAAAATAAATTAATTGGGGACCAGCAGTTGGTGTAATGGCTATGTTGCTGGATTTCCATATGTCGACCACAGTTCGAGTCCCAGACCCAGTGGCTTAAACTCACGCCGGACATGTGTGCATGCATGCCCAAGATCCCGAGAGGAGAATGGAGGAGAAG